TATATGTGTGTGTGTGTGTGTGTGTGTGTGTGTGTGTGTATAAAGAGTTTATGAACTTACAATCAGTAGCTCACTGGTAAGAACCGAAGCTCGCCATTGCTTTCTGCATTTTCTTTCACACAGTGCATCCTCGCATTTCATTTAAAATACATTAGTTCTGAAAACATAGCGTTGCCATCCTCTCCCAGGTTTGGAGTCAGCAGGGATGGCTATAAATATGGGTGTTCTGGCACCACGGGCAGCATTCTTCTGCTCCCACTTAGGTGAGAGTCTTTCTCAAGTTTCAGAGTCTCAGATCACTGTGCTGACATATTATTCTTCAAAATCTTTATGCCAGGTATATGACTGTACAGTGTTTTTTAATCCAGCTTAAACGGTGTCTTTATAATTGTTAGAATGTATATCAGCTAATGCTGACATTTCTCTCCACTGTAGAAATATGTTTGAGCACCATTTTAAAGGGTCTTAGTAAGTATAGGGTCACAGATGGAGATAAAATGAAAACAGACTCTATCAAAAATTTATATCTTAAGGTTCCCACTCCTACATTTACATATTTTTGGGGTTACAAAGAAAGGACCAAATTCACAAGAAGCTTGATTGAAATCTTAAGGCCAACAAGGTGATTATCTGGCTCTTAATCAAACACTAACGATTACTCTTACATACCAAGAAATGCATTTCAGGCTCAGTTGGGGGAGGTCAATGACATCTTACCTATCTCCTGACTTCTCAAGTCCAGTTTATATCCTCTTGTTACAAGAGACCAACAGTCCGAAGACAGCTCTCCTTTGCTGTCTTTGGGTTAGTACCATTTACTCTCTCAGTTTTAAAGTTAATAGTAAGAGTAAGAGTTGCCTCACAGGTTGTGGGATGGATTTAGTAACATAACACATGAAAATCAGTTTCCTACATCTGAGGGATTAAATACTCAAGAGATGTAATCCTCAACAGTACTATGATTATTATACTGTGAGATATTCAAATACCTCCAATCTTGCTGGTTTTAACCAGTTCCTGATGCCATAATCTTATCTAGTTTTATCTGTCTTAGAAAACATCTAGGTGTGCTGGCCTCTTATCTTAGTCCTTGATTTCTGTCACCCGTATGCACTCTGACCCTCATGGTCATAACCAAGCATCCCTGCTAAACCTCCCTGCCAAACTGGCTTCTCTCACCTTGAACACTAGTCCTTTCACATCTGCTCAGGGCTGACTGAAAGTCTTATTTCTGACATCATATGGCCAGCCTTGAGCTCCAGGATGCCCTGAATGAAATCCAGCCATGTATATGGCTAACAGCTCCTAAATCTTACATCTATTTTTGAGAAATAGTCTTTCTACAAACTTCTCATATATCAACTGCCCAGTTTACACAACACAAGGTTTCAGTCAGTCATTCTGTTACTTACCTGCTTGGACACCCTGTAGATCAGAGAGCCTGCTAAAATCATGGCCTAGCATTCTACTCCTACTTGCTCCTTCCCTAACTCCACAAGTAAAAAAAATCCTCAATGACATGAGGATGTGGACAGTGAGTCCCACACTTTACATAGTTAACACCTGCAATTCAAAGTTTTAATAAATTTGAAAACCTCAAAGTTACAATAGAACACTCTGTGTGTGTCTCATATAAAGAGAAAGATCAAAGCACATAAAATAAAGGAGCATGGAACAAGAACTTCAGTATTGGGGGATTTATTGAGGCAACTCCTTGTAGTTAAAAAGGAGGTTTATTTGGGGGTAGCTTACAGTCAGTAAAGGGGTTGGTTACAGGATCCGGGAGAAGTGGAGTGCAGTCCAGCAGTGTTCTCTGGAGAACTCTGCTCGGTCTACCATCCAGCATCCAGGATCACAAGGAACCAAGAGACCCAGCACATCCAGATCTCAGGTCTTAAGGGCTCCTGTCTTGGCCCCGCCCCAGGGACAGATCATAAGTAGGCATGGCAGTTGCCAGAAGCCTCACAAAGGGCAGTACTTCCAGGTCAAACCCACTACACTTCAGGTGTAAAAAAAAAAAAAAAAAAAAAAAAAAAAAAAAAAAAAAAAAAGCTATCAAAAGAGCTGATATACAAGAAAACAGCATAAACAGTATGAGAAGGGTAAGATGATTCTTCATAAATAGCATCCATTCAGCAATGACATGAGGATGGGAACAGTGAGTCCCACACTTTACATAGTGAAGCAATGAATCCTCTAGATTAAGGAAAGTAATGATGACTTTCTTTATTGTGATTTCATCCCACTCTGGTTTAAATATAGTTACCAGGAACCTTGAATAAAGACCTACTTGGATAATATCATGAAAATATTTACATGCCTGCATTCACTATGGTATGATATGCAACTAACAAGAGGGGAAAGCAACCCAATATTCATGGAAAACAAATAAATAAAGAAGTGTGGCATACAGATGTTTTCAACCATTAGGCAGAAATCAGATCACATACTATAATATGGATGAATCTTCAGGGCATTATGCTAAGTGGAATCAGACAGTCACAAATACTGTATGACTCCGTATATATGAAGTGTCTAAAGTAGCCAAATTCAAGGAAGCAAAAAAGTAGAATCACGGGTGAGTAGGGACAGGGAACAGGGGCAGTTTTTCAATGAGTCCAGAGTTTAACTGGAGGTGTAGCTCAGTAGCAAACCTCTTGCACAAATCCCTATGTTGAACCCTCAGCAACTGCACAAATCAGTGAATACACTGTTTCCATTAATATAGTGTTAGTTATATTACTGTTAGTAATATTAATATTATACTGTTAATAATTAATATGGTATTTTTGCAAGATGAAGTTTAAGGGATTTGTGGCATCACAATATAAACATACTTAACACCTCTGAACTGCACTTAAAAGGGCTTAAGGAAATGGATTTTAGGCTGTTTTTTACTATAGTGCAGTGATTTGAACCACTTCTTTGTGTGCATGTCTGTATCTGCCCTGTATGTATCAGATTGAAGAAATAAGTTGAACAGCTATCTCAAGCAACAGCAACTTCTTATAATACCTTCCTGTATGCAACAAAGTAGCAAGGGAATTTGCCCATGGAAACAACCCTGTTGGGAGAAATAAAAGGACAATGGTCTCTTTCTTTCTTGTCTCATAGAAGGAAACTTATAGTTAATTCCTGTGAACTCAAAAGAGAGCCTGGAGCCAAGTTGCAAGGATGAAAATCTTGCCCTGTGTAAGAATGAGTCATTACTGTAAAACAAGTGAACTGTGACCCACTCTGAAAATGGCAGGACAGGGTATTTCTCTTATTCTATAGTGTCCATTGGGGTCTCAGCTCATGCTTTTCAGTATGACCAATCCAGAGTCTTCGATGGGCTCTCGCTCTCCTTCCTCCTCCCCCTCTTCTTAATCTCCCCTCCCCGCTCACTTCTTTTCTTCTTTCCTTCCTCCTCCCTTCCCCTTCTCCCCACCCTAAACCCCCCCACTTGCTTTCCTCCTAACACACACACACACACACACACACACACACACACACACACACACACACACCTCATATACATCACATCTGTAGTCTTAATCTAAAATTCATCTCAAGTATCTTGAGAAAATTCTGTCATGATCACATTGCTTATAACTTTTGGGCAGTTCATCTGTGTAGTGGCTTTGCCCATGGTATTCAGTCTAGTGATACATATGTGTGTATGTGTGTATGTATGTATGTATGTATGTATGTATGTATGTATGTATGTTAGTATTACATAACAAAACACATCCAACTTGGCTATATTTTTTCCTTTTTCTTTTATTGAAAATAGATTCTTTTCATACAATATATTCTAATTGGTTTTATTCTTGAGTCAAGAGAGCAGCACAGATATAATTTATTATCAGTGTACATCACAAGTAGGACTCTTGACAAATGCAAATGGTATGTTCCTTCATTTGCTCAAACACCGCTTTACTCACTCAGTAAGCATCATTCCAGGTACTAGATGGGTGTAAAGTTATGAGCAAACAAACTCTTACCTCTGTTATACTGCTGTCCAACTCAGCTGTGCCAGGCTCTGGTATCTGCCCTCAGGAGAATTCTGACGGAGCCGAAAATTTCTGTATTACTAGAGTACCTGAGAACCAGCACACATAGAAAGTGCACACAGTGTGCTGTACTGAGTTAAAGCAATCATTCCTTGTGAAAATAGTGTGTCCATTTGCATAGTGCTTACAGACTCACCTTTCATAAATTCTGAGTTTCACAAAAGTGTTCTATGGTGTAGATTAATGTGTGTAAGAGTCTATGTGGCTGTGTGTCCAAATTGCCCCTTTAAAAAACATCTGATCTTTCTGACACCCTCTTCAGCTGTGATTAAGACGTTAATCTAATTATCCCAGAAGTGTGTCTGAGGCTCTATTTCCCTAAGTCCTTTTAACTTGTCCATTCATGAGCTCACAGAAGCTCCATCCCCAGCAAATGGACTGTCACAAAACATGCAGCAACAAAGTCACTATCCTGACAAATAGAAACTTCTTTCCTCATCACAACTTACTTGTAAAGTATCAGCCTCCCAGTGGGGGAAAAACTGCAGGGAAATCATGCATACGTTTATAAGTCTTAAAACTTTAGAATTGCCAACTGGGCAACCTTCATACCCCATTAAATGTGCAGACTCGAAAATCCTGATTTTACCCTTGTTTTGTTACAAGGGGTTGATCAGCTTTGCAGTCAAGCCACATATTTCTTGAGCTTTGCTCTAAAAGTGCACCAGCTACTTCCCACCATTAGAAAGTCTTCCCTTCAGTATAATAGCCTTGTCAGTTAGTTTCAGCTGGAAAGAACAAGCCATATCTCACGGCACCATTTAGCACAGACTTGGTCTATGAGGACACCACAGAACAAGCAAGCCTCTCAGTTTGCAGTTAATGAATCAAAGTTTAAGGCGACAAATTGGCTTGCTGAGGCAAAATAGTTAATTAACTTTTAGTCAGAAATATTCATCCTGCTTTTTTGGCATAAACAAGTCTCATAAACTCTGCTTACTTACCCAAGTGCTTTTTCTCTCTTCTTGTATCCCAAGGCATCATTCTGGGCTCTTAATACATTATGTCAGAGAAGTCTTATAATTTGAATCTGTTTTTTAAGTGTTTTCAGATTCCGGGGCCAAAAGGAAAAAAAATATATATATATAACTCCTCATCATTAATTGGGGTTTTATAAACACTGGAAAATTAACCATTTTAAAAACAAAACAACAACAAACACCTAGCAATCAGTGCTACGGTCTCTATGACTTTGGATGCTAATTGAATCAGATTTTGTATTTTTTAAAGTAAACACGTTAATTCCAGTGTGAGGTTAGCTGTGCTTAGCTGTCAGGTAAGGCTGCTACAGACTAATGTTGCAGCAATAGCTTGTGTTTCTAATTAGCCAAGAGGTTTAATGACAACCACTCCAGAGCCTCTTGCCTTGGGCACTTTATAGATGCATAATTTCCTTAAAACAACATCTTAAATATTAGCTAATAAGAGACCTATGTCCACAGCTTTGCTGAATACCTACCTAAGGCCCCGTGTCTTATACATTCTCCAGCTGACCTTCCAAAATAACTTTTTGCTAATTTTTTCCTCAACTATGTGTCCTAGGAAGAGATCATTCATATTTTCCATGAGAAAGCATCTATTGCCTCCTGTCTTCAGTCTACATTTTCAAAAGGAAGACCATCTGCTACAGTGGACGCTTGTGTTTAACTCTCTCCGACAATAAGTGCTGCTAAATTTTGCCCTTTACAGTGTTGTGTGTTTACTGTCTTCTAGCTCTGTGCCAGATTTTTTAAACCCAAGTCATTATCATTTTATGAGATGACTTTTTTCCAAAGGCAAATTATAGGCTCATGAATGAAGCACGTGTTAGGCCAGACATGGTGCTTATTGTTGAAGTGGCTTGTTTGTGCATATGATACATCAAGGTAATGCTTTTCTACGCACATTTAGAGATGAAAAGCTCACACTAGAGAAGGAGACCCTCATTTGAAAAGCCCAGTTACTGGAGCTGTTCTGGAAGTCAACTTATTTCCCCACAAGTAATATAAAGACATTTAACTCACATTGGCTAGGCCTATTTTTCACCAAACCCATCCTAACAAGATTGGTTGTTTTAACCAACATTTACTGGACTCCTATAAGGTATTGGGTAACGTTCTGGAAGCTGAGAGCCTAAGATGAACACACCTACCTTGAAGATATGCAAGGCACTTGCACATACTTCATTTTTGTGAGACATGCTCTCTAATTTTTCCTTGGGAGTCTAGTCATGTATTCTTCACCCTACTGTTGGGTCCCATTCATCCCTCCACCTGCCCCTTGGCTTCACCTGGAGCCAATACTCATCTATAAAATCCACAGCACGGTGTACAGGGTTTTACTGAAGCAGAAAGGGTATTCACACAGGAATACAACAGTGAAGGAAATCGGAATGGACAGAAAATGTTCCTGAAAGAGATGACAGGCAAATCATGAATAGTGAGAATGTATTAAATAATTATTCTCAGGCCTGCACGATGACTCATGAAGTAAAGGCCACTATGCCTGATGATCAAAGATTTACCCCGCTCCCCAAAACCCACATGGGGAAAGAGAGAACTGATTCCCATAAACTGTTCTGTGACCCTCACGTGTGAACCATGGCACATGCAAACACAGAGAGAGAGAGAGAGAGAGAGAGAGAGAGAGAGAGAGAGAGAGAGAGAGAGAATCAATAAACAAATGTACACATTTTAAATTTATCTATTTTTGTTTCTATTTGGTTAGTTGGCTGCTTGTATGTCTATGCGCCACATGTGTGCCTGGTACCCACAAAGGCCAGAAGAGGGTGAATCCTTGAGACTGGAGCTACATTGTTGTGAGAAGCTATGTGGATGCTGGAGATCAAACTCAGGTCCTCTAGGAGAGCTGCCAGTGCTCTTAAGCATTGAGCCATATCTCAAGCCCAACATTTTTTAACTATTGATTTCTTAAAATATATTTCTTGGGGTTGGGGATTTAGCTCAGTGATAGAGCTCTTGCCTAGCAAGCACAAGGCCCAAGCTCTGAAAAAAAAAAGTATGTTTCTCAAATAAAAAAAAATCAATACAATCTAGAAACTTAAGAATATAAATTCTTGGGTCACTAGTCAGAACCCTGGGTATTAACAAGTTCCCCAGTTGACTGAGACACATGTAAAGCTCTGAAGGCAAGCTTTCATAGAGTGAGATACAGCAGCACCTGAAGTTTTCTAGGCCATCCAACCATTCTGAATATTGGCTATTAACAGTCCACAGCTGCACTCTTCTGAGAATTAGTCTTAGACTAAGAGTGTGGTGGAATAATCTTTTTGTACACTATGAAGAGGTGTCTCTGTCAAAGTACCTTCTAATTGGTTTAATAAAGAGCTAAATGACCAATAGCTAGACAGGAGGTATAGGTGGGACTTCCAAGCACAGAGAGAACTCTGGGAAGAAGAGAGGCAGAGAAGCCAGCCAGATGCAGAAAGAGTCAGTCACACAGAATGGGATAAAGGTAAAAGCCTTAGGCAGAACATAGAGTAACAAAAATATGGTTAATTTATGTTATAAGAGTTAGTTAGGAACAAGCCTAAGCTGTAGGACTAGCTTTCATAATTAATAAGAAGTGTACATCTCTGTGTCACTATTTGGGAGTTGGCTGATGGAACAGAGAAAGACTTGTTACATAAGAAAGCTCACCTAGGAATGCCAGGAAAGCTACACCCTCTCCAAAAGTGCCCCCATGGTAACTTAGATATGGAGATTGAAAAGGCCAGTCCCCTCCCTTTGTGGTGGACAAACTCTGTGCTGTGCTTCATGTACCAGAATTTCCTCAAGCAATCTATGGGACCCGTTTCTGACTAGATGCCTTTTTCTGCCTTCTCTTATTCCCTTCCACACTTCTTGTGAGAGCACTCCCTAAATAAGTTACCAATACAGAAATTTCCATCACAGGAAACCAACCAAAAACAGTGGTACTCCGTGATGGTGGGGTGTTTACAGTGTGGTGAGGCAAGGTCTGCACTGAGAAGCAGAAAGTTTAAGTTGACAAGGCTCAAGGGAGCCTGTCTATGATTTCTTTGTAAATCACTCTATAAAAATCATCTAAATACACACAAACACATCTGCAGAGTAAACTTCGGTGCATATAAAGTATTGACATGAGAAGAGGAAAGGAATCATTCAGACTTTACACTCAGGAAAACATCTTTCCTATCTGCAGTGAATACTATCTTATGTTCCACATCTCACTGGAACAGGTCCCCAGACCTTAGCACAACCGAACCCACGGTGGAAGTACCATTCAGGTCATAAAACTCAGTTTGTAGACAGTACCACCAGCCAAAATGAAAACAAAGACTTAATCCATCAAAGTCCACAGCTATGGGAAAGTCTCTAAGTGTATTAACGTTGCTTTTTGGCTTCTATAGTTTGCTTCTGGCTAACTGTTCTTGTTAGCTGAAGCTTGTCAACTCAGGATATGGTTTTTGTACTTAAAAGCTCACTCTGAGAAAGACTTGGGGCTATGCTGGGATCCCAAACACCCAGTGTATTCGCCAGCCAGCTAATAAAGACTTTTATTGTCTTAAACCCATGTCCATGTAGTCTTCTCTGGTGGATAACCCACAACATCATGAAGCATCATAAATGTGCAGACTTTGAAAACCACAGAGGTTAGGAACTACATGATCACTTCCAGAGAGAGATTTTTGAAAATCTGAAAAAGAAAGGACTGATAAAGTGAAGACCTAAACTAATTCTTACAGGGTGGAGTGGAGAGCTGTGAGAAAGTAGACCCTGGACTGAGGAGAGATGGTGGAAGCCAAAGAAAGTTCAGTAAGATTTGCCTTGGACTCCCCACTGACCCCTCCGTTTTCAGGAGCTTCTTGACTTGACTCATTAAGCTCCTACTATTGAGTACAAAGTTTGGTGAGCATGTTTAATTTCTCTTCTAAACCCTTCCATTCTCCTTTCTTCTCATGATACTTAGTATTACGTGTCACCTTCAATGGGATACAGGGTGCTCAGGCACCTGGTAAAGCATCATTTCTATGGATGTGAGATAATTTTCAGAAGAAATTGACATTTGAAATCAGCAGGCTGAGAAAAGATGTTCCCTCATTCTTGTGGGTATGCACCATCTAATTTGTTGAGACCTGAGACAGAACAAAAAGTCATAAAGGTGAGTTTCTCTCCTTTCTACACTGCACCATCTACTGTCCCCTTTCCCTGTAAGGTCATTAGCACCTTGTTTTGAAGCCTTTGGGATCAGTCCAAAGAACTCCACCAGCTTGCTTGGTGCTCTGGCTTGTAAATACATGTCTCTGGACTTCTTGGCCTCTATAATCTCATGAGCCAATTCCCATGAAAAGTCTCCCTTGTATATGTGTTATCTGTACATACCTGATTAGTCCTGTGTCTTTGGAGGACCCTGATAAATAAATAGAAATTTTTTTGCCATAGAAATTAATGCTTCTACCAGGGCTTCTTTCTAAATTACACCAGTGAAACATGGGAATCATTTCAATAGTCCAAACTTCTCCCATTTTTCTGATGTCCAAGTAAGGACACAAAAAAAAATTAAGATATCCTAGAAGTGTTTCCTTGTTGGAACAAAATTTTAAAAGATAGGTAAGCATTCTCCATCCCAGAAAACTGACTAAATCTCTACTGCTAGTTACAGCAAAGAGGGACCTTTCCTTCCTGACCTGCACTAGGTCAGAAAACTAGAAATGCCTAGAGGATCTCCCTTCTATGTGCTGGCACAGACAGGACCAGTTTCTGAAGAATGCCAGTTCTCTAAGAATAAAGGGGACTGGTGCCACAAACAGGTACACGCCATTTCTGGGTTCCTGCATTAATAGTGTCCAAAGCCAAACCCACCTTGACATTTTTCAGTAAGACACTAAATGATGCCTGGGATTTTTCTTTCACATTAATATTTTTTCTGTCACTCTCAACAGGGGCCTAATGTAAGATGCCTTCCTTCTGAGAAAATAAATGCAGTGAGAATCCTGCCTCCCTATAAGCTTTACTCTTTCTCTTGAGGACCTCTCACTGCCTCTCCCCTCCTCCTGTTCATGCATACTATTCACAGAAGTCCATTCTGCCTGAAGAGTTCCATGTGCCTTCTCCAGAAGTAACTCTCTGTTTACTCCTTCACATTATTCTGGTGGGGACATCTTGTTTTCCATTGAGCAGCCTTGGGTCAGGATTACATAAAAGCATACTTCAAAAAATGGAAGTCCAGCAGTAATTCAAACGTTTACTATTCCAAAATCCTCAAATTTTGATTCTCTCACACGGCCTTTTGGACTTTCATCTGGGGAGCCCCAGAAGCTCTCTGTGTATAAGAACACAGTTGGGGATGATCTCATGCTGCTTCCTCCCTCCAGCGCAAGGCAGGATGTCATGGCCTTTGGACAGATCATAATATGGTTAGTGTTTATCTTCATTGCTGCATGTGGTATATGATTGCTAAATTTGAGATGAATATGTTTGTTTAAACTTCTAAACTACACTTATTAACTGAAAAACACTGTCCCCAAAACGTGAGCACTACTATGCCAATTAATTATCTTGAATCCATCTGAACAGAACAGATTTCAGAAAGTCACTTAGAAGGTTTTGGCTGTTCTTTCTGAAATGTTTTTGATGGGGTTTTAATGTTTTAAAAGTCTGACAGCTGCTTCTGAAAATGAAATTCTGTTTGTCAGCAAGCTACAGCTAACTCATTTCAATAAACAGGTGATCTGTTCTCTTAGAGAAGGGTTGAAAGCACTCGCTGACATCTGAGTGGAAAAGAAAACTGGGCAATTTGAAGTGGTTGGTGGAATGAAGTCTCAAATCAGATCCTGTGAATGTCAGAGAGAGACTGGGCACCCAGCAGACTGCTTTGGTCTGTCTCTGAGGAAAGGGATCGAATTGCAAATAATACTTGTCTACCACCTGATGTAGGAAAAGAAAGAGGACAACATGGTAATCTAGTTCCTCCATAAACACTTTCTTGTTTATTGTTAAAAAGACCCATCATGCAGAGCAGCTTCCTGGACTTCGTGTTCCTATGTATTAACAAACATTCTTATTGTGGATAATATTAAACCAGACATTATTTTCCAAAAGCATTTTAGTAAAAGAAATGCCATTTCTAGGAGCTAGGGAGATGGCTCAGTGGATAAATGCTTGCCATTAAAATATGAGGACTGGAATTTGGATCCCCAGAACCCATGTAAAGGCTTGGTGGGCATGACAACCCACCTGTAATTCCAGCCTCAAGGATCCCCAGAACAAGCCTAATCGTAACTGAGAGTTCCAGGTTTGATTGAGAGAACTTGGCTCAATGAATGATATGGAAAAACAGTTAAAGATGACTCCCTAATATCAACGTCAAGCGTACACACACACACACACACACACACAGCACACATACACACACACACATGCATAGCATACACATTGACACAGCTGTGAAAGTAGAAAAAGAAAAAGAAAAGCCTCTTCTAACCATTCCTAAATGTACCCAGCAGTTTGCTGGGCCAGATTAGCAACTGCCCAGCTTCTTTGTACATTTGGCATTTCTAATTGTCTATTGATCCACAATTGACTCTTGACCTTAAAAACACAAGTACATGCCATCAACATCTGGCTGTAAAACGACAGAAACCACAGTGCCTTTTTCAACACAGAGAGTATCATGCAGGTTCCGAAAGGCATCCAATGCAATGACTGAATTAGTCAAATGAGAGCACTGAGATAGCCCTGGGGGGATGCAACTAAAGGTAAGATTGTAAGAACCTTGAGTTGGTGAAGAGGACACACCCTGAGCCACAGCTGATAGCTCTGTGGGGATGTGACATAGTATTGAACTGAGTCCTAATGCCATAATGATATTCCCATAGATTAAAGCATCTCTCAACCCTCATCAAGAAACTTCTACTTGCAATAGATGGCGATTGAATGGAGATCCACAATCAGTTGAGATGCAGAGACTATAAGGCTGTGGGACGATCAGCTTAGACAGGATATCTATATCACATGCCTTCCTCCCAAATCTCAAGGATTGTTGCAGAAGAGGGGGCAGGAAGACTGTGAAAGCCAGAGGCTGTGGAGGGATAGAAGGAAAGTGTCCTCTGGACAGAGCAGGGCAGCTGCACATATGAGCTCACAGCAGTTATGGAGGCATACACAAGCCCCATGCACACCCAAGCCAGACCAAATCACAGCATGGAGAACGGGGGTGGACATGAAGTTCCACCCCTAGCTAAGTAATTATTGGCAACTGATAGCTTTGGGGAGAGGGAGGGTCAATTTTCTTTAAGAATGTAGCACCTGGGGGGTTGACCGTGAACCAGTGGAAGACCATACATCCAAGGACATGTGGGCAGTACAAACTGGACTTGAAAAAGGACACAAAGTTGGGTGGGTAGGGAAAGGGGCATAGATATGCGAGGAGTGAATATGATCAAAACACATTGTGCAAAATTTTCAAAGAACTAAGAAAGAAAAGAAAAGGAAGGAAGGGGAAAGATGGATGGACTGGTTCTCATAGTGCAGCAAGTAATCCCAGAATAGCCCTAACGATTGCTTTTTGGATCATCCAGTGCCTCTTGACCCATCACAGTATGGGAGTAGGTAAAAAGTTTAGACAAGTCCTTTCCACTGCCCGCTATTCAGTATTGCCAGTACTAGTGCTGACAGAGTATCAAGAAGAATCATTTTGGAAAGAAGGAAGGGAGCATGGAGGGGGAAGAAGAATATCAATAACAAAAAGTCAAGAAGATGTAGCTTTCATGGCCCCAAAATAGCATCAAAAATGGAGAATAGGAACGCTTCCCTGAAGTTGAGATAACCATCAGATACCAAACTTGTCTGTTCCACTCCAAACTCGACATACTCTCCACTCTTCTGACCCCAATGTAACCAAAAAGGTATATAGATATAGAGATAGAGATAAATAAGTTTTCCCTAAGCACTAAATCAAATGGCTTGTCACAGCCGTGTCCAAACCCGACCCAGAAGCAAGTGAATGTTTATTTTGGCTTGTGGTTTCTGTCTCAGCTTCAACTGCATTTGTGCTCCTTTCTTTGCCAGACTTCACATTTTCCCTCTCATTTTGCTCTGCTTTCTGTTTTCTTTCTCACTGTAAATCCGGGGAAGTGACAGGAGCCATAAGCCCCCCTGCAGCCTGAATCAGACTCTATGCATACCCTTTCCTCCACCAAAGAAATTGGTCCCTTGCTTTGAAAGTTCTCAAGACATGGACAGAAGCCATCCACACATTTTGCAGGAATGTAATACAAATTGTGTCTTATCCAGCCCCAACAGAGCTCTTTTTACCTTCTCAAATCTAAGGAGCCCGGCTTCGCTGTCCACACTGCTATCAGCACATGGCATTCTGAGTTCCTACCAGAATCGTCCATGAAGCTCTGCTTGTAGCCTTCTGGGGCTTCTCTGGCCCACAGTTCCAAGTGCTTCCAAATTCCTCCAACAAAGCAGTTCCAGATGACTACAGAGCACATGATCAGGTGTTTTACAGCATTTCTCATTGCCAGTTTTCTATATTAATTAGTTTTCTCATCACTGTGACCAAATACCTGACAAGAAGAAACTTAGCTGTTGAAGGGTTTCTTTTGACTAATGGTCTAAGGGCACAGTCCGTCAGCATGTGGAGGGAATATCAGAAGGAATGGCTCTCAGCTGTGGTAGGAGAATGTGACAGCTGCTTGTTCACATCTGGGTGGAACAGAAAGGATGATCAGGACAGAAAATGGGGTCCAGATAGAAACTTGAAGGCCTGTCCCAGCAGTGACCCACTTCCCCCACAGCTAGGCACCACTTTCTGGAGATCCCCCCGAAACAGCACCACCAGCAAGGAACAAGTATTCAAATACATGTACCTGCAGCATACATGTCACATTCAAACCATAACATGTAATGAGGTATAGTCACAACAATTTCCCAGTGGAAAAAAAAAAGCTGTGGACTTTGGGCAAGTTGCACACTTTCCCTGGGCATTAGTTTTCTTTTATGTGGTACACATTTTAGATACACTAAAATTTTAGATGTACATGAAATATTAGGAACACATTTGTAAATAGATGATCTACATATAGTACTTACCTCAATGCTAGTTCTAAGACAGACACACAGCAAACATTAGCTGACTTCCTTTTCTCCCTTACTCCTCATCCTTTTTATGGAATACATGGCTTTGGGCCCTGCTACAAAAATTTTAGGCATCAGTAAGCACATGCAAGATCACTGACAGGAAAACTCACCCTACGAGGTTTTACTAGTCTGGCAGGTCAGAAACTTGAGAGTTCTAAGGAAGGGATACACATGTGTCTTACAAGAATGGGTTTATTGTGAGGATGCATGGGAACAAAAAGGGAGTTCTTAGAACCAAGTCCTGGCAGGGGTGGCCAATCTTTTGGCTTCTCTAGGCCACACTGGTATCTACAAAGACCACATTCAAGAACTGCACAATCAAATGACACACAGATGGGGCAGAAAACTCACACTACTTTAAGGAATTCATTATTGTGTGTTGAGTCACATTTACAGCAATTCCAGACTACATGCAGACTATGGGCCATGAACTGGAAATTGCTGCAAGCAGAGTGACGTACAGCAAACCCATCAGACCTTCAAGAACTATTTTACCAGGACAAGAACCTGAGCCTTCGGTTAGATTGGCTATCATCAAGAAAATAAGTCACTACAGGGGCTAGAGATGTGGGTCAGCAGTTAAGGGCACACACAGTGCTTTTGCAGAAGACCTAGGTCAGGTTCCCAGAACCCGCCTGGCCGATCACAGCTGTCTAACTCCAGTTCCTGGGAATCGGATGTCCAGTTCTGGCCTCCTCAGGTACATGCATAAATATGGTGCCCGTGAGCTCAGGCTGGTACACACACACACACACACACACATTAAAATATTTTTAAATAAATTTTGGGGCCGGAGAAATGACTCCACTTGTTCTTGAAGAGGACGCAGACTTAGTTCCCAGAACTCATGTGATGACTCACAATTGTCCTCAACTTCAGTTCCAGTGAATCTGACACCCTCTTCTGACCTCCTGGAGTACCAGGCACACATGTGGTACACTCTTTTGTAAAAAAAAGAAAGAAAGAAAGAAAGAAAGAAAGAAAGAAAGAAAGAAAGAAAGAAAGAAAGAAAGAAAGAAAGAAAACAAAAGACTATCACAAATGATGAATCGATAGTGAAAAGGTGACACATATATACATGTTGGGATTTTATGAAGCTGCAAAGAAAAATGAAATTACAAAATTCACAGGAAAAATTATAGTAAGTGAGGTGACCCAAGCTCAAGAGGACGAAAAACACATGTTCACTCTCATAAATGGATCCTAATTTTTATGTACATGTGTTTGTGTGAGGGTTACTGAGTTTGGGAGCCAAGAAACTGGAAAGGGTACCATGCAGTGGTGGGAGGGGCTTTCGTGGAAGGGAGAGCAGGGTAGTTGCACACATGTGATAATGGAGATACTAGGGGTAAAATGTTTGGCAAGGTGGGGGGCAGGAACATGGAGGGAGAGAAGTAAATAGGGGGGGTCAACCAAATCAGAGACCAAATGAAAAAGCCACAAGCAAAGCTGATATAAAATATGATATACATATTTTAAAACTATCTAAAGAGTCCAGCGCACACCTTTAATCCCAGCACTTGGGAGGCAGAGGCAGGCGGATCTCTGTGAGTTCCGAGGCCAGCCTAGTCTACAGAGCAAGATCCAGGAAAGGCGCAAAGCTACACAGGGAAACCCTGTCTTGAAAAACCAAAAAAAAAAAAAGTCTGAACAGAGGTACCTTGTATAAGCAAATAAAGCTGCCCACACCAGGAAGCAATGGAAATGAAAGCCCCAGTGACAGATTTGAGTTGTTGATCAAGAAGGCCCCTGAGGTCCCCAAAATAATGCAGGTTATTGCCGCTAGAACTAGAAAGTAAGACCCTAGTCCAGAAGATATCACCCACTTCACTCACAGGCAGAGGAATCTAGCTGGAAATGTCCTCTCTACTGACTACCCTCACGGTTCTGGAAGGTGTTCTACAGACTGCTGGGAGAACGCAGTCATCAATAGCAGCGTTTAGCTGAGGGCCCTACATGCTACACAACCAAGTTGTCGGGCAAGACATGCCCACTGGTACAAGGGTGGAAAGCCTGTCATGGGTACAGTCAACCACTTGCCGATTGGATTGGAGGCCTGCTCCGCAGGAGGGAATTCAGGCCTGATGCTGTAAGCAAAAGTCGATAGCTAAGGAAGGCAGAAACTCAACTGAGGAAGCTACGGTTGTTGCTTTTCTAAAGGAACATGATGTGTCCACTAAATTGCCTTCTAAATAACTTTGCTTATGCCCGTAAGTCAGGGCCGCTGTCAACTTTGGTCAGAGCGGCTTATTTTTACAGTGGACAGTGGCTCCTGCAGAGACGCCTACTCCCCGAGTGCTGAGAATAACTCACTGTTAAGTTATGTCAAGCCCTAAATGAAACTTCTATACTACCCCTCCAAGGCTCAGTAAACATCTCTAAAGAGATAAAGAAGAGATGTAAGAGGTGGAGGAAGGGCTGAAATGCAAGGGAATAGTTTCTTCCAGGTGTAACGTGGCATTGCAGCCCTGAACTCTCAGCAGCTGTGATTATCAGCACAAGACCTTGACAAGATTAGGCCCATCAAGCTTCTGTCAGAGGCAGAGAGGACCACGAGGCCCCATCCCACTTCTGAGGTTATAAATGAAGCTCATAGCTGCTGAAAAGCTGGAGATGGAGAGATTTTCTTCCATCGTGTAGTCATAGTAAAGTTATCAACACTCCCACAAATAACCTCTTACTGATGCTCCAATAAGCAATCCTCATTAAACAAAAAAAGAAAAGATATGACAACAGAAACGGGGTCTGGCAGGGAAAAGGGAGAGGGTCTGTGGCATAAGAAAAGATTTGGGGCAAATATGATTGAAATACAGCATCTGTATGAATATGTTCAAAAAGGCATTTTTCCAAAAAAGTAAATAAATAAATATTAATGTCATCCAAAACAAAACACCTTGAACTTTTACTGACACGCATTTCTTTGTCGATGCAGTGTGTGTATTTTCCAATAGTTGAATTGCAGTGAGTCAGTTTACCCCCTTTTGTGTGGTTCACTGCTATTGCACAGGGGTCATACAATCACCTGGAGATTACTGATAGCCTCAACTGGCCCTGCATGTGGTTAATTCCAAGATATGTCCCCTGCTCTTCATAATAACTAGGCTGTGATGAAGGTGGCAACGTTCACTCTGGTCAGTTATGGGAGTCTTAACCCACTCACTTTAAAACAAAAGTTACCTAATCATTTGCCCACAGGAGCCCACTGCCGTTTTATCTTATCTTGATATGAAGAATACCTACTACTTCTCAGTAAATCCTTCATTTCTCAGAACCATTTTATCTTCCAATATGGTGCTGCAAAGAATTCCAAGTAGAATATACAGAGAGACAATAAGGGAAGTGAGATTTCAAAGAAAGAGAATAATTCACCTTTTAGCCATGTCATTATGCTGATCTCAAAAGAGGAGCAGGAGTCATTGCCTAGATCCCTAAACTGAGGGAGTAAGTTAACAGCAGGAATATGATCAGAAACAGGTAAAATAGTGGGTTCCCATATGATGAGACAGGTATTTAAAGTTGCAGAAGGTCCTTATTTACATATTCAAGCACAAACACAATGAGGATAATATAATATAATAACATAATATGGTAAATGAATCCCCCTTCTAACTTTTTGGAATGCAGAAGTATGAGATTTAGTCTGCTGGCCACACTGGAAAGAGGAACAACTAAAAAGGTACACACACAAACAATCACACACCACACCCAAGCATATCTTCCTCAGTACATTTTTTCTTTATTTCTTTTTATATATTTTCTAAATTTTAAGTGCCATATATCATGCTGGTCACCTAATAAGAGTTAGAGGCAGCCCTGTAAGTAAAGAAAACAAGAATGATGTTCATATGTTGCCAAGGCTTGAATGTGACCCCCAAAGATCCTATGTTGAAAACTTAATCCTCAAATTTGTATGTTAATGATGTTTGGAAATGGAGCCCTTGGGAAATCACTAGGCTGAGCCAAGGTCATGAGGGTAGGGGCTTTCTGATGGCCTCAGTGGCCTGTAAGAAGAAGAGAACCGATGACTGGACAAGATACCCCTCTCATGCTCGTGGGCCTCCCAGCCTCCAGAAATAAGCAAACCTCTACTCTGATAAATTACTTAGTCTCCTGTATTTTTTTTATAGATAGGAAAACAGATTAAGACATCTAGAGATAGCCAAACTGCAAGCACACTTTTAGGAAATTCTTTAAATTTGCAGGTGAAATTTTACCCCACTTCACCTACTGGGAGAAAGATTTAAAGGAGAGAAGCCTGAGCCCTGAGTCTGTATGGCTTAACATTTTCTCATTTTGTAGTTCACCTTCTTCACCCCAAACAAGCTGAAATCCTACATGTGCCAAATATCTTCTCTCCTAGCAATGCTTTTCAGAGATAATGAGAAACAAAGCAGGCAATACAATGATAAGAGTTTCCAACTACTGCCAGCCAGAGAAAGACCCAAGGTGTTCATTTTCTCAATTACTGTACTGCTTATTTTCTTGTTGGATGGGCAAGTGCTTCTAAGCAAACCTTGAAGCTAATTGTATATATCCTGGCATATACAGTGTGCCCGAAGCCCAGAGGATACAGCTAGCAATTATATTTCACTGATTAATGTGCAATCGTAAATTTACAGGCTTGATGGTCCAAAGAGGCTCCCTGCTATGTGAGATAATGAATAGGAAATTGTCAGAATAATTAGTCAAGTCAGACCCTACAAATGTACCTGTGACTTGAAAGTAACAAAAGAGAAAAAAAGTCCCTCATTTACAGATTGAAAGATAAAGTTTGAGAGAAGAACAGAGAACAGGATATTCAAAATATGCTCCTCTTGGCTTGATTTCCTTCACTAGTCTTGGTATCTGAAGAGAAACAGATTCTGTGCTGAGCTTCTCAGGTCCGATCATGGAGGCAGGACTATTCCACCAGCATCTGTTAGTCTTGCTACCCTCACGGTCAGTTCTGTATGGAATTTGCCTTCCGCAGAAATGCCACCTTGCTGCTAGTCAAACCACCTTCCATGAAGAAAGAACAGTAGACAATAATGGTCAAAACCAAGGTGAAAGGCCTGTCCTCCTTTACAAAACAAGACTCAAGCCCAAAGAGCCAACCTTCTTCAAAGCTTGTCTGGGAACACTGAATCCCCACACTGTTGTCAAGAGTTGGTCTCCTTCCCCGCCCTGGATCCTGCCCAAAGACCAGCCCCTAGAAAGCCTTCAGCACACTGCCTACAACAGGACTGCTCCCTGGAGAATCCGACTTGCAACAGGGTTAATCACACATTACTAAAAGAGTCTTCCAAAGAAATGCCCCGACATTAGAAGAGACCCTTCAGTTCAGTGTAACTAATGTTTTGTGCATGCCAACTGTTCAGATGGGAACCCCAAATCTATATTGAGATAAGTTTTACCTTGAAATTTCTCCTTGAGTATTTGTTTTTTGGTTGGCTGATTGGTTGGTTTGGTTTGGTTGGATGTTCTGAATTAAACACATCAAATCCTAAAGGTGAATCTTCTGAGTAAATGCATTTCCTTGGGACTTTCTCTAAAATAAAATGTGTGGATGATATCTTCAAAACAAGTCAAAGGCAAAACTACTAAGTTTAAAAACTGGTAGTATATTGTGTTGCAACTGAACTTTGTGTATATATATACATATATATATATATGTATATATATATAGCGCTTGACTATAGAGTCAAGTGGACCCAAACAAAGAATGAAAGGATTTACTACACATTGCTTAGTTTTGATGTCTCATTTCTACTTATCAATATAATCATGACCATTACATCCTCAATTAAGAGAGGCAAATTATATGGATGGTGTGTGGTACAGATGGGCCATTTTCAAGTGACAGGTGAATATAGTTTCAAATGATGGGGGTTAGCCTACATTAAGCAGACACTGAATCTGAAAATCCAGATGACCTTAAAGGATAAATTAGGGAGTGTTATGTTGTTGTTGTTTTTTTCTTCAAATACTTCATTGCAGCGTTTTTCAACTAGTTTTTTAAAAAATATACCCTGAATTTTAAATCTTCACTTAACCTTCCATTCTATCTTGTATATGTTTTAATATTTGAGACCACCTTTTTATACCATATACCTTCTGTCAATAGTTTAAGCTATACTGCTCTTTTAATTCGTTAACCTATTCTTTTTTTTTTTTTTTTTTTTTTTTTGGTTTTTTCGAGACAGGGTTTCTCTGTGTAGCTTTGTGCCTTTCCTGGAGCTCACTTGGTAGCCCAGGCTGGCCTCGAACTCACAAAGATCCGCCTGCCTCTGCCTCCCAAGTGCTGGGATTAAAGGCGTGCGCCACCACGCCCGGCTCGTTAACCTATTCTTGATGCTCAGTCTCTGGTTACTTGTGAGCAGCATGATCTTGGGTGAGCTACTTATCCACCCAAGCCCTAGTTTCCTCATTGGTAACACAGAATTGGAAGTCCCCAAGAACTGTTGAGATTAATAAGAACTGTTCAAGAAAATGCCTCTGACATTCCCTGTTGATCATTTGTTGTCAGTGTGCAGTGTTTGACAGAATTCCCATCCAGAGATTTTTAAGGAGTGTATTCAAGTGATGGAATGATTTAATACACATTCAAGTCCCTTGGATCTTACATGGCTATATTCATTTTCACACAAAGAATATTTTTAGATGACTTACCTCTCCTTATAAATAATAGCATGATTCAGAGCCTCTCACTTCCCCTTCTTCAAAATGATACAAGATAAAGGACACTTTTCACAGGGTTAAGGATATCTGTGTGAGTCTGGGGTACCGAAGTGCAAACTGTTCCTTTTTCATTTTGATGTTTATGGGGAGAAAGGGAGACTAATGAGAAATAGCAATTGCCCCACTAAGTACCCAAGTATTTTGTAACACAAGCATTTAGCAAGTGTGCAAGACCTTAAGCCATCGTTCTAGAAGAAACTCTGTATTTTGTTTAGTAAATAATTCTGACTGCTGGGGACATTTACTTTAAAGCTGAATTTGCTGAAAAGCCTGGGGCACCATTCTAAGACTGTCCCAAAGCACTGTAATGGGGCAATTAGTGCCTAATGATATAGAAGGGTGCAGCTCTAGCCTACATCAAACTGAAAGAAAGGTATTGCTTGAGCTGTTAAGAGCACAGAGGCATGCATTTCCCACTGTCAGCAATACTGTGTGTGTGTGTGTGTGTGTGTGTGTGTGTGTGTGTGTGTGTGTGTGTGTGTACAGGAACAAAAACATTTCATTTAGAAGCAACCCATCAATATTTAGAAAAAATGTATAAAAAGTGGTTTTAAATGTCTTGGGTTTTAATTTTCCTAAATAGTCCAATTGTGTGAATAATAGATTTTATGTGCAGTGAGCTTTCTTTTACCTTTCATTAAACTTTTTCCCTAGTTTTGTACCATGATTTTAGGGTTAAGTATGTTTGATGGTCCTAGTTTTAAATTTTCACCAGTTTTTGACTTTTCTACTTCACATAGTTGTGAAGGTTAAAAACTTTGGGAAATGGTTTGTGTGGTAGTTTGAAAGAAAATGGCCCCCAAAGGGAGTGGCACTATTAGGAGGTGTGGCCTTGTTAGAGGAAGTGTGTCACTGTGGGGGTGGGCTTTGAGCTCAAGCCACACCCAGTGTCCCAGTTTCCTTCCTGTTGCGTGGGGGATCAAGATGTAGCCAGCACCATGCCTGCCTGCATGCCTCTATGTACCACCATGATAATAATGGATTAAACCTCTTAAAATGTAAGCCAGCCCCAATTAAATGTTTTTCCTTTGTAAGAGTTGCTGTGGTCATGGTGTCCCTTCACGGCAATAGAAACCCAACTAAGGACAGCTTGCTTGAGCTTTTTTTTTTTTTCCTTGAAACAATTGACATCTTTGTTCACCACATTACAACAGGGGCAGCAGGCACGGTGGTAATAGAATCGCCAGCATAGGAATATGAGAGAGTTTTCTAATTGGGAGCAGTCTTGTTTGGTTAGGCCAAGACACTATGCAATCTTTTATCTCCCACCCACCCATTCTATTCATGCCATGTAAATGAGGACAGTCCTGATTGGTCAGTGTTCTGATCTTAAATGGGTTTACAATGCTGTATTTCTGTGATGTCCAGGTGTACTGGCTGGTTTTATGTCAACCTGACACAAATTAAAGTCATCAGAGAGGAAGGAGCTTCAGTTGAGGAAATTCCTCTCTGAGCTCCAGCTGAGAGGCATTTTCTCAATTAGTGATCAATGGGGGAGGACCCAAACCATTGTAGTCCTGGGTTCTATAAGTAAGCGGGCTGAGCAAGCCAGGGAAGCAATATAGCACCCCTCCAAGGCTTCTGCATCAGCTTCTGCCTCCAAGATCGTGCCCTGTTTGAGTTCCTGTCCTGACTTCCTTCCATAATGAACAGCAACGTGGAAGTGAAAACCAAATAAACCCTTTCCTCCCCAACTTGCTTTGTAGTCATGATGTTTTTGTTACAGCAATAGAAACCCTAACTAAGACATGAGGTTACAGTCCTTTCTTACAGGCCTATGGTATTCTGCCTTTCCGCTGGTCCCAACTGGAGTAAAACAGGATATAAATGAGAGCGCTGGGTGAATACCCAGACACATAAAGCCTGAGAGGTAGGCCTCACTGGGCTCCACTTCCTGCTTCTCAAAGCCAAGAACAATGGACTATTAATTATTGAAGTCCCTGAAGGTAAGGTAGAGGGGAACAGCATGTACACAGGCCTGGACCAATGACCAAATAAGGACAAAGCCTAGAACATATCCAAGTTTGCCCAAAAATGAAAGACTGTAGCCCTGACCAACCCTCAACTAACTTTTAGCCAACAGAAACTACTAACAAAGATTGCCACCCACATAAGCCAATTATATCTAAGATGAGCTAACTTCCTTGGGCACTCCCCTTAGTGAGGCTTAAAAGAACCCCTCACTTCCTCCCTGGGGGTCGGTCACCATTGTGCCTTTGTGCTGGATGGGCCACCCAATATATTAGAATAATAAAGATGCTCTTGTCCATTACATACATGGAAGGTGGTCTTTTGTGTGACTTATCTGGGACCTCAACCTAGTCTTCTGTTTGGGGAGTCACTTTCTGAAGCAGGGTTAACTGGGGACCTGCTTCTTCCCCTAACCGTAGCCTCTACATCCCACCTAGTCAAAGCAGCAAATCCATTCCTGGAGAGCTGGTTGAAGGCCTTTTCTTTGGTAGCTTCTCTGAGGCATGCAGGAGGAACACACTAGCCCACATGGATCATGTGTATTACTCTGGCAGGGATTCCATGCCTTGCCATAAAACAAGAGCTCTATTTAGGAGTGGTTTTGATGGAAGGTCTGCATTCCTGGCCCAGGAGACTTAGAGGAAGTGAGACTTCTGAGGGGAAGGGATAAAAGCATGGAGATGGACCTGTTGAAGCTTGAAGAAAACAAACCTGACAAGTGGGTTAAAACTGCAGGAACAAAATGCCAAGAAGCACACAAATAACTCTAAGTGCCTCTAGAAAGTGAAGCAACAAGAAACCACATTATCGCATTTGTTTTAAAGTCTTACCATTCAAACCCTCTTTTTGAGTCTTGGACCCAAGCACCATCAGTATGTCTGATAGTATTAAGCTGATTTTGTTGTATTTGTTCAGATTTATTATCATAAAAGCAACTTCCTTACTTCCATGTGGTGCAGGGTCTATCTACCTTGAGCATCGTCCACAAACCAATAGTCCAGCAGTTCTGAAGGCCAACTACTATAAGTGGATTTAACAGCAGTTCCCATATGTGTGAAAGTCCTTGGGCTAGTATAATTATTTGGTTTGTGAGTTCTGGGGGGAGTCTTTAAGTAGTAAAAAGTAGAGTTTGTAAGAACCCCTGTTCTTATACACACAGTGAAGGTAAAGCCAGAAACTATTAACAGTGAAGTCAGCACTGCTCTTTTAGTTCAGGCGAGAGAAATCTGTTATGGCAAAAATGTGTAGTCCTGATTAAATGGGACTTGGAGAAGGACAAATGCCACAGTCCATGTGCCTGTTCAGTACCTGAGGAGGCAGGGACAGGCTCAGGCCCTAGAAGAAAGAATAAACAGTCTTCAAGATGTCAGGCAGAAAATGTAGTATGCTTCTCATGGAAGCCAGGAAGATGGAGACTGTGAGTGACCATTAAGGGGGTTAAGACATCCTGTAGAAGAAGGGTGTATAAAAGGGTTTTGGTTTGTGGCCTCGGTGAGCTCTCCACTGAACATTGTCTTTGTACTCTTTGCAATTAGTATTTGATTCTCTGATTAAGCCTAAAATGCTTGGCCTGTGAACTAATTGACTTTGGAAAAGTTGAGGTGCCCTTGAAGACTTGTGAAGTATTGATGCCCTGGCCCAATTTTCAAGCTTAAGGAATCTAATTTGGCCAGATGTTATATCTAGAGTAGAGACCTGAGGGCTTAGAAATAAGTAGTCTAGGATAGGAAAGTAATCTAGGGTTTGATTTATATCATAACTAAGGAGGTCTCCTACATTTTCTTCCTGTAAGTTCAATTGTATTTGATAGAAAATGAGACCTGAGTATAAGAGTCTTTCAGAGACTGTCCCTGAGGTGACCAAAAATTTAAAAAAAAAAAATGTGGTTAGCAGATCCTTTAAAAGAGTGTTTTATAATCCCATTGTCAAAGCTCCATCTGCTGGTGTGAGTTGTATCTAGACGTTAGAGGACCAGAAAGTGGAGTATGTTGGCAGCCCCAAGTAGCCTCTTGTTAGTGCCACATTAGCACAACTACGTAGGGTGTGTTGTTACATTAAGGAGCACTAAATTCTCTCTGTTTGTTGGGTAATAGGCATGCAGTAAGAAAGACAGAGTAGGAGAGTAGGAGTTTTGAAGGCAACATGCAGTGTGTTAAGGACAAGTGATGTGAACTTGCTGGTAGGACAATGGTCAGACACTTAGGACTAGGCTCCTCTTAACCTATTGTGAGGACAGACTTGGAATTCTAAGAAAGTTCTAGAAACTATTTTATCTCACTCCCAGGGTTACCTGTGAGGCTACCCTGCATAAATAGATGAAGGGTGAATTTTCTAAGGAGGGAGCTGGTGATTTCTTGTCAGAAGGAAAATGTGAGGGAAGAGTTTGGAAAATGGTGGGAAAGTTGTAGGCACCCAGGAGAGGACTTGAATCAAGGGTTGGGGTCTTGAGTTTATGAGTTTGGGGGATTATGTTTACACCACCAGGAGTCTTCTTGAACAACAGGCACCCAACCTTGAAAACCTTCACGATACCTGATCCCTGATGGACTCACAACTAAAGGAGACTGGTGAGGTCCATGCCAGTGGAATAGTGATTGACTTTAACAGGGCAAAGATGGATCCAAAGAGAGGAAAAGTCTCCAAAGCATAACTGCAATGCAAGTTGTTAGAACTTGAGGTGATCTAATCTCACAAAAAAAATCCTCAGATGAGCATAGTCTCATGAGGGCTGGCCGAGGAGAATGAACGAAAAACACAGGAGAAATCTAATCCACCCAACAGCTGCCCCGGGAGCTGGAAAAGAACTAAAGAGAAAGGCTTTTTCCTTACAGACAGTAGACCTACCTGCTCAGGACTTTAGGTCCCACCAAAATGTTGCCTTGGGAGGAGGACATTGCAACTGAAAGATCTGTTAAACAGGCTGGGACCTTCACCCTTAATGGTGGCAGGAATTGTCTTCAAGAAGAGGGGTGGTCTGGATTTCACTAGAGTGTTGCCTGGGCCGGAAATTATGGTCCCTGTACCTCAGAGGGGCTCCCTGGAGGGGCTAGAGGCAGAAAAACAAAGTCCCTAGGTTGTTTCTGATGTCACAGCAGGGAGGCCTTGTAGTCACATCTAGGTAATCTAGCTGAAAGGCATCAATCATCTCTGAACCCACAAGACAGGACTTTGGGAATTCCCTAGCAAAGAAGGGAAGTCGCTAACAATCCTAGGGATACCCCCAGCCTGAAGACTTTGCTGTCTCCAGCTGCAGAGGTTGCAGCTTCTAGGGTCCAGGATGAGAGGTGAAGTTCCCACTCCTCCTGCAGGCCCACCCATCCCGTGGCGAGTGGCAGGTCTGAGAAAGAATTCAGCCTTTAGACCAGAGGAAAACAAAGGGACGTGTTGTTTAGTACACAGCAGACAGGACAGAATGTGGGGACAGCAGTAAGATAAAAACCACCTTCCAAGGAGTAAGTTTTTGAACCACAGAGCCTAGATGTGACACTTGGAAATGATTCAGTTAGGCAGGCGTCCCAGGTGCCACGCACTGTGCTAGGCACACAGAATACAGAAGTGGCAGCATGTATAAACAGAAGAGGTATTCTCTCCGGCATTCTCGGCAGTAGGGTTCTCATTATAACCCCAACACTCTATGCATCTACCCAGCTAGTTCATGTGACAAGAGGTGACTCTTCTGCTAAGCTGATGTGAAATGACCTTTCATGGACGAATTGTTCTTCTAAAACATGACACAAAACAGAAGCAGTAATTCACACAGAGATCATAAAAACAAAAGAGCTATTTTCCTCATGAGAGCAGACTGGTTCTCAAGCATAATTCAGACTACTTCTGGACAAGAATCCATCTAACAGAGGTGGTTAGCCAAGGAGCAAGACTGTAATGAGGAATAGATCCAGGAATATATTAAATCATGATGATAAATATCATTGCCAAATAGTTATATGCTTCAAACGACCTTTCAACTTGCCACATATGTATGAAAAGATGAAATGTTCTTTAATTACATTGAAGAACTTATGTGTCCAAATAAAAGATGAGGGGGTGTAAGGTAAAATCTCTACCCTGCCATTGGCAACTTAATAGCTCAACTTTGTAAGTCTCAGCGTCCCCACCTGCAAGTTTGACTTTACTCTACTTTGCCCTGCTACTTAACTCAAAACACGAAAGCTTTTTGTGAATAACAGTGTGAGTTGGCCTGACATTAGAAGTCTGTCCATATGAAACTACATATATTTAATTAAAAATAGTTCAAGGTGCCAAGCCACACCCCCATAACTGACTCGATACATACATATGTATATACATATATGTGTGTGTGTACATATATGTATATTCACCCTCAGTTCCACTGAATCAAGCTTCACGTGGCAATGATGGCTGAGGAGAAAAGGAACATGATTTTAAAAATGAAATCAGTGCATTCAGGATATGGACCTCTTCTGAAGGGAAAAGTGGAAATTAAGTTAACAAGAAGACGTGTACTTAAAAGGCAAAGGTCTGATGTGTACCATAGACAAGCACGGGGCTCCCTGCCCCACCCCTGGCTGCTCCTCTAGTAGAGGGTCAGGGTGCCTGTGCCCAGCAGAAAGCAGCAAGGACACCTTGCGCTGTTTCCATGCAATTCTAAAGCATATCCAACATCTTTGAGAGTCAGGGTTTTTTTATTATTATTAATTTGACTTGTCAGCCTTTGAGTACAGAAACTGATTCTTTTTTCAGGTGAGTAAAAAAAGCAAATATAAGCAGCAGTCCAGTGGGAAGCCAGGGAAGCCAGTGTGAATCATACCATCCTGAGAGACACACCCACTTCCTACAAATGTGGGAGAGAGATTTCTGCCCTTGTTAAGGCCCAGGTTCATATGAGCAACACTAAATGGTCTCAGTGAGTTGTTTGTTTGTTTGTTTGTTTGTTTGTTTGTTTTTTATGCATTCATGTGTTTGTTTGTTTTTTATGCGTGTGTGTGTGTGTGTGTGTGTGTGTGTGTGTGTGTGTGTGTGTAACAGCCATGAATTGGAAGGAAGTAGGGGCTACTTGGGAGGGGTTGAAGGGAGGGGACCCTGGAAGAGTTAGGAGAAGGCACAGAGGGATCGGAAGAAGGAAAGAGGAGGAAGAAAATTATACAATTATATTTTAATGAAAATATTAAAAGGCATATTAAAAAGCTGAATTGTCCTTTAGTATAATCTCTGGGAACTAAGCATCTAGACTCCAGGTCAGTCTGTGTCTGCAACCTCAGGGCAGCAGGAAAGGTGCTGTGGAGAGAACACTGCTGGAGAGTTTAAAGTACTGTGAGTAAAAGTACTGCTCTGGCCTGCTTCCTGTTCCTGTGCTTAACACCATCGTCAAAGAAACCTGAGCAGGAAAGGGTGCTTTGGCTTACAGGTCCCAAACAGGAGCCTTCACTGAGGGAAGCCAGGACAGGAGGAGAGGGAGGGGGAACTGTGGTTGATATATAAAATGAATAAGAGAAAATTAAAATAAAATAAAATACAAATTGAAAAGGCAGGGAAATAGAATAAGGAACAGCATGTTCTTAATGGCATTTATGGATAGTCAACATTAAAGTTTACTTTGATTTAAATGAAAAAAAGGGAGGGCAAACTGGCTTAGAAAACCTACTCTTAGCTGGGTGGTAGTGGCGTATGCCTTTAATCCCAGCACTTAGGAGACAGAGACAGATGGATCTCAGTGAGTTTGAGGCCAGCCTGGTCTAGAAAGTGAGATCCAGGACAGCCAAGACTGTTACAAAGAGAAACCCTGTCTCCAAAAATCCAAAAAAAAAGAAGAAGAAAGAAAGAAAGAAAGAAAGAGAGAGAGAGAGAGAGAGAGAGAGAGAGAGAGAGAGAGAGAGAAAGAAAGAAAGAAATACAGGCAAAAAGAAAAAGAAAAAAAAGAGAAGAAGAAAAAGAAAAAGAAAACCTATTCTTCACTTAAGTATTTTTTTTAAACTCTGACATTTCCTCTGCAGTTCCAAGTGATGATGAAAATCTCTGCGTTAAACTGAAGGAGCCAGGGTACAAACTCAAGCCATGGCTCCATTGAGCTTCAGCTAGTTGGCTCAAAGAAATGACTTTAGAGACTGTCTCACACTATGTTTAGGAAGGATTAAAAGACTTTTGAAATGTTTTTCTGACTGACATGCACTGGCATTTTAGTGATTTTTTTTTTTTTTTTTACACAAGTTACTTCCCTGGCAAAATTCTCTGTGTGACCACAACTTGTCTGCACCACTCAAAAATGAAGTCATTTTGGATTAGGAAAAACAGTTCTTTCCCTATTGACAGTATTTTCTTCTTCACTTTCACAAGAAACTTTACAGGGTCTGAAAATTATTGTCATAACTCAGACCCACGAGATCAAAAAAGAAAAAACATTTCAGATTGAACACAGGAGAAAACAGTTCTGTGGCCTAGCATTTGTATCCAGAATGACAGACTGCTGTGGCCAACACAGCAATAGTTAACACTTCAGCACTGGTACTTTGCCATTGTAAATTGTTTCGTATTTTATTTCCACAAAAACAGTATGCCATTACCCAGATCCCTGTTTTACAAAAGAGGAAACAGATTCCAGCTGTGCTGCGAATCCTCCAGCCTTGGAAAGTGTTCTCACTCTGACCCTTCAGTAACCAAAAGGCATTTTCTCCTTAGCATTATTAGTCAACCAAGAGAGGGAGGAAGAGTAGGAGAGGAGGAGAAAAAATCTTTCATAGATACCAATGGTATTTCATAATCTCTCTTATAACTCTCTTTTGATCTTAGATCCAAGCAGGGTTTTTTTGTTGTTGTTTGGTTTTTCATTTTTTTTTTTTTTTGTTTGGTTTGGTTTGGTTTTGGTTTTTCGAGACAGGGTTTCTCTGTGTAGCTTTGCAACTTTCCTGCATCTCGCTCTGTAGCCCAGGCTGGCCTCGAACTCACAGAGATCTGCCTGGCTCCGCCTCCTGAGTACTGAGATTAAAGGCGTGCGCCACCATCACCCGACTTGGACCCAAGCAGTTTTTTTAAACACAGTCACATGTACTGCTTTCTGGCTCTCAGCTGTATTCACCATTCAACCCACTCCATCACAGCTTCCAGCATGGCCACATGTTGTATCAGTGCTGTCCTACGGTAATCAAACACTGACATCGAACCACATGCCTGGCCTCTTTCCAACTTTTCAAGCACATCTTCCCCAAATTGCCAAGTGTTGACCTCTGCACTGCCATTCTTACTTAAAACCTGAGAACCACTCCTGAGAAGACATACTGTTCTGTTTTTATCTGCCTTTAGATGTTCGTGTAACTCAGAGACATAAATCTACCCCTCTTCTCATCGGACTCTACACTTCTAGATACCACACTGAGTGATTATATCTATTCTAAAAGTTTTACTTTTTGAAAAATTCATAAACGGATATAATGTGTTGACCAAGTCTACCCTCACTGCCTCCTCTCCAGCTCCTCCCATATATCTCCACCACTTTCCTCCCCAACATCATGTCCTCCTTTCGAAACCCACTGAGTCCGCTTAGCGCTGCCTGTATATACACGGATGTGGGGCCATCCACTGGAACGTGGGTAGCCTATCAGTAGCTGCTTCCCTGAAGAAAACCCCCAGCATCCACGAGTTGCCAAGTGCTCAGCTAGGGGTGGGTTTCATGAAAACCTTTCCCATCCATGCTAGAGTTTCTCAACTTGGTAATAAATAGCTTAAGATGTACTTATTTTTAATTCCAGTCTATTTTTAAAGGTGTTAGAGGGAGGTCAGTACGTCTCATCTCCATTGCCACCTAAGCAGATGTCAGGGGCACTCGCCAAAGCAATTGAGTCCATCAGTGCTCCCAATGCTTTATGTGAACAATCTCACATCATATAGATCATTTTACAGGGGGTTAAAATGGGGTTCAGAGAAGCTTATTAGCATGTATAAAGGCACAGAATTGAGGGTTGGGAGGTCAATGCAACTGGAGGATTTAGATAGCCACAGGACCCCTT